GCTCGCAAGCCTCAACCCTGCTGCACCATAGCGGCCCTCACATGCTAAATGTTAGAGATCTAAGCCCCAACTCCAGAGCCCGAAGCCCATGAACGCAGACGTCTTCAGTCCATGGCCCCCCATAGTTTGGAACTTGGCGGTTGGGTGTGGGGCATCACTTTTTTTGCTGATGCCTGGAGAGGTAGGGAAACTCAGAGAAAATCGCTTGAATTTCTATGTCTATGTATGGTCAGTGTGCACGCAACCTACGTAACTTGCAAAACCCGACAGAGCACAAAGCAACGTATCAACTCCCAAAACTCAACAGGCGCGCTTCGGAACTGTTCCGCCCCGAACAGCTGGTAAAGGCACCCCTCAAGCAATGACCTTCCCGTGTTACCGTCTTCAGGATGTGGGTTTAAGATTTCCCCAGCTGGCGGTTTGGAACCTTAGTCTATTGGTATTCGGATTGCTCGGTTTCTGTTCCCATACTAGTTGCACTTACATTACAGAATGGGGGCTCAGGCTTTCTTGGCCAGGTTGCTTTTTGAGTAGGTGCTTCTTGGGTGGTTTAGGATTTCAGTTAAGTGTGTATATCTATATTTCGCGAGTTTACAGCTCATGTTGCAGCTGTTGTTCTTACAGCTTCATGTAGTTAGGTCCGGTGTGATGTCGACCGTCAGTCGCCAAAAAAGCAAGCTTGGACCACGTGAGAAGAAACTGTGCCCCATGTACACCTTGAGCTATCCAGCCCTTCACCCCAAACCAGAGTAGACTCTTAGCGTAGGATTTCTTGTGCGGGACTTCAGATTTTAATGGTCCTGCTTGGGAATGTCGGGTTTTCAGGAGTGTTCCTCGAAATCCAAAACAGCATAGGGTTGAAGGTTTAGGCCTCCCATAGCCTGTCCCCCATCCCCTGCATCTCCAAAGCCAACAGCCCCAAATCAGAAGCTCCCTGATCCTAAACCCTCAGCTTTGAACCCTAAACCCTGAAGCCTGCAGCCTGAAGCCTTTCCGAGGTTTACGGCCTGGGTGCTTGCACGGCGATGATGACCGTCATCGGGCTGACTGCCTGGTACCAGGCGCATGTCTTTTGCTGTTCGAGAAGAGTGCCCTTCACAGGGCCTAGTATCGGCTCAGAACTATCAGTCATACTGAGTCATACTGTTCCCTATATCCCACATGGGCTTCCGGGGAGGGAGGGTTCTGGCTTATCTTGAGGACACCGGCCTGTGCGATGTTTTGGGGGCTGTCTCGGGGCCCAGCCTATGACCCATTGCGGTTCTCGAAGACTCATCTTAAGGCCGACGATATCTTAGCGTCTAGTAAACATATTGCCTCCTATATAATCCCTATATCGTTTTTTCGTAGAGCTGAATTGTAGAACCGTCTTGCCTAGCCCCGATTTAGCTATAGAACATGCCCCAACGGCCTCATCGTGCAAAGCCTCATAGGCAAACATCCGTTGGGAAGCAAAACCGGGCTTGCCTAGCTAAGGGTTCCGTTCGAAGTACCCGGCTCCGAACCCGAAGCCCTCACTGCCAAACCCAACGTTGATTGGCTTCCATATACGACCAGGCCCTAAGCCTAAGCTCAAAGCCCAAATGCCCTGGTCGTACTTGGGGTTCCATTAAAGTTTAGGGCTTTGCCGGGGTCAGGTCAATGCTTGGTTTTTCAGGGTGCAGTGAAGCTCAAACCTAAAAAGGTGATGATGGCTGCGTTCATGGAGTCACCTGCCAGGCACTCAGCCCTCAAGCACCCGGCAGTCTGACAGAACTGCTTTTTCTAAGGCTAAGGGGTGCTGCAGTGTTCTCGGGTTGTAGGGTTTTGCTTTCGAAGTCACAGTTCAAACAGACAGTATTTGTGTAACAGAGGTTGCAGATGTCTCTGGCCTGAGTTTGAATGTGCATAGGCTCGTCCTGACCAACCCCTTGTGGATTGCAGGCTTGGCGTTTGGGATTCTGTAAATTTTGAACACATTGAGTTGTCATCTCAGCGCGGTTGCGCGATTGAGAGTCTCTGAGGCCATTGGCATTCCTCCCTGATGCACCGCGTCTCACCGACGAAAGCGCCTAAACAAGCCACTAACACACGTGAACGATGAGCAACTCTTTATCCTGTTTTTCTGTAAGCTTACAAGAAACGGGGCCCGTGCTGCAGAAAACTGCACCGGCTAGTTTTTAACGTCGCCATGTGCATGTTAGGCACAGGAGAGCAGAGCTGTCGACGCGGGCTTTCTGCTGATAGACCAGAGAAATTGAAAAGCCGTGAAACCCGAGCCCCCAAAGCCCAGTCCCAAGGAGCGCTCATGTTGGCTCTCTCTCTCTCTCTCTCTTCGGGNNTTTAGGGTTTAGGCTTTAGGGAACCCACAGTGGATTTGGACCCATCAATGAATCAAAACCTAAAGCAGAAGAGAGCAGTCGAAGGTTTGTTGCTTCGTGTCCCCGATGTTCCTTGGCCGGCTTGCCGCGACCCCCCGTACCACTCGCCCGTCGCCGGGTCGCCCTCCCGCTGGGCCGTCGTCTCGGTCACGTCGTATTCCTCGTTACCCCGCTAGGGTCGAAGAGGGCAAAGTAATTAAGGACCCGGCGTGATCAGCAGAATACGTCAAGCAGAAAGTAGCTGCTTTACTACACCCGAACGCCTGAACGTCTTGGAATACTGTAATCTCCGTTCGACCCTCAACGCCCCGAAGTTGTGGAAACCTCAATCAGCACTATGGGGTATGTAACACCCCAAAGCCAAGCCCAAAACCACCAGCACCAAGCTAGAAAGTCCACAGAGCCCAGCTGCTCTCCAAGCTCCGGCACG